GGTTGATAAACCCAACCTGTCAGAGATAAAAAAAGATGCAGACATCCAGTTTTTGGGACGGTCTCATTCTTTACGTAAAGCTATGATATCTGTAATTCTGAAGTATCTAAAAAAAATGAGTCCAAAAACTGCTCCTATAGTCAATGGCAATACTCCATTTGCTTCAGTGACCTAGCAAATGGGGCATTTTATCAGAGGTGGAAATAAAATGGACATATTTGGGCATTGTTTTTATGTTACTAAATAGTAACTGTGAGACAAAGAAATACAGAACAGTGGGGAGTGACGTGGCACAGCTGAGGAAAGCATGTTAAGGAGAACACGACACTGTACCATGGGCTTTCAGTGCAAAAGAAAACCATTACTATATTCAAAATGTAGATCTTTCCTGATTGTTTCCTTAACCCCTTAAGTCTCACATATACCTGCAGGTTACAAAAGACAGTGGAAAATATGACCCACTAGGAATCCTGTATAGATTTGGAGGAGTATGTTTGCCTTTGACTTACAACATTAACCAAACACTAACAGATGTATAAATATATTATGAATTTACATGGAGCAGCTTGGTTTCTTACACAGGCTAACTCTTAATGCAACTTTAAAGAAGACTTTTTTTTTTTTTAAGGATGCAAGGAGAGAGGAGAGTGCTGCTTTTATCTTTTGTGTGTTTATGACAAATTAGTCAGATCTTGTCTACCTGGATTAGCCATAATCATGAACTAGCAGAATTACGACAACAGAGAGAGAAAGGATCACGACACCTGGTATCTCAACAGCTTTTAGAAAGAGTTGTAAGTACTTATGCTCTGTTTTACTGAACTGCAGTGTTATGGAGAAATGAATTTGTTAAGGGTGCAAATTTTTAACCCTTTTGACAAAAGGCTGAGAAACAACATCTTCCACACCGTTATTTGGGAATCCCAAGTCTACATGTTGAAGAATCCCACAGAATACAATGCCGTTTGTGCTTCCTGTGGCATTTCCCTTTCCTGCTTTTAGGGAATGGATGCATGTGTCACCACAGGCCACCTGGTCAGCTCTTTCTGGAGCGTGTAAAATGATGCAGCAGGCCATGTTCACAATAAACTCACTATCTGGCCATTAGACTACTAAAGCATTCAGAAGAGCTGCTGTAGCTGCGGTGGTCTAAGACCATAAGAAACATGAGAGGCTACGAAGGATGAAACATCATTTTGGATGCTTTAAAAAATTAATACGCTTTCAGGCACCAGAAAGCTGACAGAAGGACTGCGTGCTTGATATTTCTGTAATTTTTTTCTATTAGTTGCTCTAATGAAAGAGATCCACGTTTCAAAAAACTTGCACTTCTAAAGCATCCAGATAAATAAATACATGTTTACCAGGAAATTCCTCTCTGTGCCTTTGCTTTATTTTCTGAGCTTCATCATAATAGGGCTGCTTCTGCTCTTCAGTCAGTTTGCTCCACTCCAATCCAAGCTGAACACTGATTTCTGCATTATTGGCAGCTGGGTTAGCTTTTGCTAGGGCGGGCCGATGAATCCTAGCCCACACCATAAATGCGTTCATTGGACGCTTTACATGGCCACTTTTGTCCTTGCTAAATGGAGTATCTGGCATACCTATGCAACAAAACGAGGAAAGATGATCATCTTCCAGGCAATATATGCAATACAGGTTACATTCAATAGTACACCAAGAGGATATTTGGCAAGTCAAAAGAATCACTAGAGCTTTGGAACACATGAAACTTGATGCACATTTGGAGAGCATTTCCTAGAAAAATAGCTAAGGCTAAGCGAGTATCCTCCACTAACCTTCACTGAACCACTGCATAAGGAATCATTTACCTGGCTTTCGTTACATATTATTAAAAAAGCCCCAACAAACCCATATGGGACTGCTAACACACTGGTTTGGATTTCATTTGGCTAGATTGCTTTCTTATGAACTTATAAACTTACAAATTAATAAACCAAACATTGTATAGCATAGACCATATCACTGCAAATTTGTCATCACCACCTGAACTATGTATCCAAAGCCCTAACGATGCAGGGACCAGATCTAATGATGGTATGGCAGTTTAGTCCCACACCTGTGCAGTCCCTGGCTTCTCAGCTGAGGTTGCTGCTGTTCTGGGTTTCTCGTTGGGTTTTTTTTCCTCTCTCACTCTTTTCTCAGATTTGGACACTCATTTTGCTGGAGGAACCTGTGTTACCAAATGACTGTTACACGACACCCAGCTTTGGCTCTTTGTAAACACAGACTGCATTTAAATTGAGCTGGTGACATGATGAACCCCCAGACCCCTCACAACTGATCCCTGAGAAAGCAATTTCCTCTCTGAAAAAGGCTTAGAAATGAACTCTCTCACATTATCAATAAAGGACAAAAGTCTTCTAGTCTTTAAGACCTCACTTTAAGTCATTAATTTTGAAAGCCTAGATATTGTTCAGAAAAAGTAAGCTTCTAATCCAGATGGTTGAAAAAGTTTCTCATTTAACATGTCCAAATTTTCTCAGAGAGGTGTATGAATGCTTCATAGCTTTAAAAAATCGAGCAGGTTCCTGACCTTAAACTTGCAATCACAACTCAATGCAATTCTGAACACTGTTGTAAGGGGTTTAATGTAGTCAGGGAGCAAGCGGACAAAACTGCACTGATTGTAACAAACCACTAGAGAACTCTGTGCTCCCGTATGTTTACATCTTACGCTGAAGAAGAGAGTTGTACAAACTCGTCTATCCGAAGGGATGGTTCCCTAACACGACCTTTCCACTTGTGTTCTCCTATCTGATAACCTGTCGACTGTGTTCCACTTACTGAACCCTTGCAAGCTCTCTTAATGTAATACCTGAATCGGAGGGCAGTACTGTGAGGGGAACATTTTTAGTTTCAATCTTTACTGAAGGCTCCAGTAAAGACTGCATTTTAAGTGGCACTTGTTTCACCGGCACTTTAGTCATATGGATCAGCTCTGGGGGCAGAGGGCCTTGGATCTGTATGCGGGTCCCAGGAGGTAAGGAGTGAAACACAACTGGGATCTTCAGTTCTTCAGGGAGGATCCCAAACCCCTCACACCGCTGCGCCTTGCGGTCGTCGGTGCTGGCACGAGCAGGCCCACACAGGGAGCCAGCCGGGCCATCGTCCTTTTCCCTCTTCACCCTGCAGGCCTCAAAGGCCACATCAGGCGGCTCCACTTTGACAGCACCTCCTCTCCAGGGCTCCTTCCCACTCCCCCTCTTCTCCAGCACCTTCACCTCGTTCTGGCTTTCTCCGCTGCGCCTTTCATGGTCCCCTTCTCTCTTGATGGCGCCGCGGGCCTCCTCTTTACCCCCCCACGGGGCTGGGGAGCACCTGAACTCGCCCCCCGACTCTCTGCTGTCCCCGCGGCAGTCCGGGGGATCTCCCTCCTCCGGCTCGGGCTCCTCGACTTTGATGTGCAGCACCCTGAGGGGGCCCTTGGCCTCCCCCTGCGCGGGGGGCGGCGGGGGACGGCGGGGGCCC